CAACAACAACAACAGCAACACAACAGCAGCAGCAACAACAACAATCAGTTTAAGACTGTCCGTTCTTATCTGCTCGCGTGTCATTCAATACGTATATCCCAAACCCTGGACACCCACCCTCTTCGTCGTCGATCGCACTCCTTTTCGGGGGTACACTCATTCCCTGCCACGCGTGGTTGGTGAAGCCCTTGAAAACGAAGGGTAACAGATAACGAGGGAGAATGAGGACGAAGGGATCGGAGGAAGGGAAGGGAAGGGCAAGAAGGAGGACGATGATTTGCGCTGCGAGTGGCGATTCAGCTTGCGCCATGGCTTGCGCCAGCCACTCCAACACAGGTTTACAATAAGTTTCGTCATGGGTCGCGCCATAAACAGCGCCACGTACCACCCCCTTGAAAGAACATATCGTGGACGCCCCCCACGGGGAGACGTACAGCTGCGAAGTGGTGTCGGAAACAAATTTCGTGGAACACTGAAAAGAAGCGGGATGTTGGGAGAGTGGGGCGGAAGGATAATGAGAACTGCAACCGTGTCGAGAGGAGCGCGGAAGCCCCAAGTGAGAGCGCGATTCTTCAAAAATTGCAAGGAAATATCAAGCGGGAGCCGCGATCCGGTGGTGAATTGCAAGGAAGTCCCAAGCGAAGGCGCGATTCTTCAATACATTGTGAGGGAGTATCAGGCGGGAGCCGTTCTTGTTGTAACCCGGGGGCCAACGACACAGATTGACCCTCAAGACTTCCCCTGGTAAAAAAAACCGGGTGCGAGCCCCAGGAAGGGCACTTCAATCGAAAAAACAGGGGGATCAACAAGAATGATTCTTCAGAAGTGAGAGTTCAACAACAACAACAGCAGCAGCAACAGCAACAACAACAAACAAACAAACAAAAACAAACAAACAAACATTAAACAAACAAACAAACAAACAAACAAACAAACAAACCAACCAACCAACAAACAACAACAACACCAGCAGCAACAACAACAACAACAACAACAGCAGCAGCAGCAGCAGCAACAACAACAACAACAACAACAACAACAACAACAACAACAACAACAACAACAACAACAACAACAACAACAACATCAGCAGCAGCAGCAGCAACAGCAACAACAACAACAACAACAACCACCACCACCACCACCACCACCACCACAACAACAACAACAACAACAGCAACAACAACAACAACAATCATTATAAGACTGTTCGCCCTTATCTGCTCGAGTGTCGAATAACGCGAATTGCCCAAACCCTCGATGCCCGCCCTTTTCGTCTTCGATCGAACTCATTTTGGGGGGTATACCTTTCTTCCCTGCAGGCCGGGCGGGCCCCGGCACGCGGCGGGGCGGCCGCGGACCGTCGGCCTGGCCAGCGGCAGCGCTGATCGGCGGGGCGGCCGCGGACCGTCGACCCGACCCCAAGAGGGACGGTCAGGGGACCGACCGAGACGACGACGACGACGACGACGACGACGACGACGTCGACGACGACGACGACGACGGCAACGACGGCGACGGCGACGACGACGACGAGCGAAAGCGAGAGCGAGAGAGAACGACAGCAGAGCCACGAAGGACACGAAGTAGGCCACGAAGGGCGACAGCGGGGACACGAAGGGAATGCGTATGGGGCCACGAAGAGCGCGAACGAGCGTGGGCCACGAAGGGCAGATAATGCGGGGCCACAGAAGGCAACGATGGGGCCACTGAGGGTAGCACCTGGGCCACGTAGGACAATGAGGGGGCCACAAACGGCGACAGCGGGGCCACGAAGGGCATGCACATGGGGCCACAACGGGCGCGAACGAGCGGGGGCCACGAAGGGCATACGTATGTTGGGCCGCGGAGGGTACGGACGGGGCCACTGAGGGCAGCAACGGGGACACGAAGGGCAGCGAGGGGGCCACGAAGGGCGACAGCGGGGCCACGAAGGGCATGCATATGGGGCCACCACGGGCGCGAACGAGCGGGGGCCACGACGGGCATACATATATGGGGCCACGAAACAATAACAAAGCGAGGGGGCCACGAAGGGCTGCAACGGGGCCACGAAGGGCAGCGAGGGGGCTACGAAGGGCTGCAACGGGGCCACGAAGGGCTGCAACGGGGCCACGAAGGGCAGCGAGGGGGCCACGAAGGGCTGCTGCTGCAACAGGGCCACGTAACAAAGCGAGGGGGCCACGAAGGGCTGCAACGGGACCACGAAGGGCAACGAGGAGGCCACGAGGGGCTGCAACGGGGCCACGAAACAAAGCGAGGGGGCCACGAAGGGCTGCAACGGGGCCACGAAACAAAGCGAGGGGGCCACGAAGGGCTGCAACGGGGCCACGAAGGGCAGCGAGATCCCGATTCCTAGGTAATATGTGAAGGAGTCCTAAGCGTGAGCGCGACTCCTGGGTGCCTGGGTGTCGAGAGCACGGCGCTGGAATAAATTGCAAGAAATTCCAACGCAAGGGCGCTATTCTTCAGTAAATTGCAAGCAAGTCTCCAGCGAGAGCGCGACTCCAGAGCGCAGGAGGTAAATCGTAACGAAGTCCCAAGCGAGAGCGCGAGTCTTGAATAAAACGCGAGGAAGTCTCGGGCGGGAGCGGGGGTCCTGGCTAAATTGTGAGGAAGTCTCAGGCGGGAGCCGTTGTTGTTGTAACCCGGGGGCCAGGAGGCCAGTTTGAGCAGGAAGACTTTCCTTGACAAAAAACCAGGTGCGAGCCCCGGGGGGGCACGTCAATTGAAAAAATAAATGTGCACCGGTGGTGGGGGATCAACAATAATTATTCTTGAGGAATGAGAGTTCAACAACAACAACAACAACAACAACAACAGCAACAGCAACAGCAACAGCAACAGCAGCAGTAGTAGCAGCAGCAGCAGCAGCAACAGCCAGCAGCAAAAGCAGCAGCAGAAGCAGCAGCAGAAGCAGAAGCGGCAACAACCACAACAAAAACAACACTTACAACAACAGCAACAGCAACAGCAACAACAACAGCACCACCACCAACAACAACAACAACAACAACAGCAGCAGCAGCAGCAACAACAGCAACACCAGCAACAACAACAACAACAACAACAACAACAACAAAACAACAACAACAACAACAACAACAACAACAACAACAACAACAACAACAACAACAACAACAACAGCTATCAAAGAGAGGCCTCGGGCAGCCCAGATCGGCAGAGCCGCGCGGGCCCGCCCACGAGTGCCTCTCTCGAAGGCGAGCGCGCGCGGGGGGGGAGGGAAGCGAGAAGGGAGGCGGGCGTTCTCGGTTGGGCGTTCTCCTTTCTGCAGGGTTTCGACCTTTGGCCGAAGGGTGTGAAGGGCATCGACAGGGGACGACTGGCATGCGGGGGGGATGCATCGATCGGCGACGGGCCTCCCACAGTGAACCCGCGCCTTCCTGGGCAGGCTGGAGCTATCGGGCCCCCATCGGCGATCCATGGGCGACTGGGAGTCCGCGCCTCCCCCCCCCCCCCCTGTGCCTATCCCCCCCGATCCTTGCCCCCCAAGGGTGGGGGAGGGGGGTCGGCGATCCATGGGCGATTGGGAGTCCGTGCTCCCCCCCCCCCCCCCTCTGTGCCTATCCCCCCGATCCTTGCCCCCCAAGGCTGGGGGAGAAGGGGGGGGGTCTGGGTCTGGGCCGGCGCTTCGTCGATCTGCCTCTGCCGGTCGCGCACAACTGGGGGAGGGGGGCCCTGTCCGGTCGCCAGAAGCCGCCGCGAAGAGCGGCCAAGATCTGGTCGACGAAGGGGGGGGGAGGGGGGAGGCCAGGGGCCCGCGCCCAGCCGCGGGGGGCGCAATGGAGGGGTGGGTCCACCTGACGGCGCACCCCCTGACCTCCCCCTGGCCCTGACGCACACGCCGCCCAGAGGACATCCGCCTCCCCCGACCCGCGGAGCCACGACCGCGGCGAAACAAGGCGACCAGAGGGCTCGGATGTCCCCTGGCCTTGGAGCCTCGCCCGAAGACGTGGGAACCTTCTCGGAAGGCGCGGGAGCTTCTGAGAAGCCCCGCCGCCTTCTGAGAAGGCCTCCTCCTTCGCACTTCCCCCGCTCGCTCGACGCCAACCACCGTGCCTCGGCTGTTGGAAGGAGCGCGTCTCTTTATGTTCGGCGATGACGGGCGTCATGGGGGGGGGGGGGGCGACGGCGGGGTTTGACGTAACGCCCCCCCCGCCGTGTGGCTCCGGCACCGCAGCCGCGCCCGCGCGCGCGCCGCGACGAGCGACGAACAACAAGCGACGAGCGACGACGACTACGACGACGACGACGACGACGACGACGAGCCTTAGGCTCTGCTGAACCTGGTTTTGACATGGCTTCAGGGAGCTCCACGACTGCCCGAGAGGGCCCCGGTGGCCACCCAGAACGGCCCGCGAGGCTCCGAAGACGGCTCGAGACCGCCACCTGGGGAGCCCAAGACAGCCAAAGAAGGCTCGTTCTTAGGTCGTGCATGTCTTCATACAGGATTTGAGGAAAAAAAATAAAAATTGCCCAAACATACTCAAAAGCAGTCAGAAAGAATCATAAGATCGTCCCCGGGCTATGTTATTACTATTCTTGAAATTTCCTCCTGTAGAGGGGCATGCCCGACGTACGTAAGCTTATTCGCTTCGCACGCCCCAGTGAAAGACCGCCCATCCATTACCCCGACTGGTGCAGGACTGCCTGCATCTGCCGTGGCGCAGAAGTCGAACTCCCAAAACCCGTCCCGTCCGCAAGCGCAAGAGCCGAGAGCTTGTGGAACTGCACACCCGCCAGCTCGTACACGCGCGCACGCGCGCGATCCCCTTGCGACAAAAGGCAACAAACTTGTCTGTGCCCAACGCTCCCAGAAAGAACTCCAGCAGCTGTGCCCTCGAACGCCCGTAACCTGCCCGTCTGACACCCGCACAAAACCCCACCGCCAGGGAGGCCGGAAGGGAGTCGAGGGTGTAATAACTGGATAGTCGATGCGGCTCCAGTCGTCGAAGCGGCACCGAAGCACGGGACAGATCCTGCAGTCTCTCGACCCTGCCGCACTCGTTCTGGAGCTGCTGGTTGACCTCCTCGAAGAGAATTTGCAGATCGGTGAGCTGGCCGCCCACCTCCAACAGCTCCTCAGGGGCACAGCCGGACGTCGCCCCTGCCCAGCATCCGAATAGGAAGGACGGCAGGCAGAAGGGAGTGCCGAGGCTCTTTCAAAAGAGCTGCCGCTCGAAGAGGACTCTACTGGGAGGGAGATGCACTTCTCAGGGCTGCCTTCGAACTTCGACTGGGGAAGCACGAAGCGTCGCCACCAGAGAAAGCTTCCTGCGCGAGGGGGTGGGAAATGCATGCGTGGAATAGGTGGCGGCATCCGAACCCCACCCCCGCCAACCATCGCCTCTTCAGATTCGATTGGAGGCGGGGTAGAGGTTCGGATTTCGCCACGTGTCCGACGAACTCCGACCACTACCCCTGCCGCCCATCGAGTTGCCCGATTTGGACTTCGCCGCCAATGGGGGGGGAAGGGGGGGCGGGGGGCGATCGCGCCACGGTTTGTGACGCTTGCAGCAGGGGCGAGCGGAAGACGGTGCGCCAATCGTGGCCTCGCCTCTCCCGCGAGGCCTTGCCAGGGGGGACCTTCAGCCGCCTTCTCGCAGCCTTTCGTGGCCTCTGGGGTCCTCTGGCAGCCTTTACTTTCAGCGGCCTCTTGCAGCCTCTACAACAGAGCAGAGAAGTGCATTGTGCATGGTAAGTGAGCTTCCCAAAGAGACCCACAACAAGGGGGCTGAACAGACAGGCCATCCAATCCTCGAAAGAGTAGACGTGACCGGCCACTCCGAGCTCGGGGGCGCCGGCCCCGCGCTTCCGCCTCGAAGGGTACCGCAGCCCAAAGCCCCCTTCGGCGTACAGCGTCGGCGCGGGAGGAGAATCCGACGAGGGCCAGACCACGCACGAGCCCAGGGCGGAGGAACAGTTGAGCGTCGGCCAGACAGGGGGCTTACGCGAGATGGCATAGCGACCTTACGCGGTGACTTACGCGGGCCACCAGCGCGGCAGGCCACAGTGGAGACGAGGGCGCTGACGCGCGACCTTCCGCGGGCAGCTTACGCGCCAATGTCGGCGCAGACGACCCCGCTTTTGTGCGTCGCTCAATCGGCGGTGAGCCCCACGGGTATTCTCAGAAGGCTGGGGACTCCTCGGGCCTTCTGAGAAATGCTCCAAGCCTTCCCCGAAGACACAGAAAACTTCTGCGAAGGCCAGAGGGCTTCTGAGAAGCCTCGCCGCCTGCTGAGAAGACATGTTCCTTCTCACTTCCCCCTGGGCACGCCGCCGAAACAAGGTGCTCGAGGCCGAGGGGGTGCTCTCATCAGCCGCAAGTCTTGCGGCGACGATCGTCCTCTTGCCCTCCTCCCGAGGCAGCAGCACGATGGGGGGGAGACGGGGGAAGAGAAGGAGCGGGGAGAGGGGCCACACACACACACACACACACACACACACACACACACACACACACACACACGCGCGCGGCGACCCCCCAGAGGCGTCGGGGGCCCTGGGGATGCCAGTGCAGAGAAAACGCTGTGCCACGGCGGGTGGGAAAAAACACAACGCGAGGCCGAGCGGGGCGCTCCCTGGAGGAAGGCCAGGGGCCCCGAGACAAGCAGTCGAGAGGGTGGGTGAGGCCAGATCCGCTCACCCCTCCGGGTGCCCATCCGGTGCAGTCTTCCACCCCTGGGCCCGATGCTGACGGCCCCCGGGCCCGAGGACGGCCCCGGGAGGGCGATCACTTGTTGTTCCGTGCCGAGCCCAGGACCTCGAGCCTGCCCCCCCCCCCCTTGCTGCTGGTCGGAACCAATGTTAGGTCGGGCATGTCCTCCGACAGGCGGGTTTTGAACGAAGAATGGTACACAGACAAGAGATATTCAAACATCCTCAGAAACAGTCATAAAATCGTTCCCTGACTATTTTCCCCAGCCGTCATGTGGTGTTGGGTCCTCGTTTCGAAGAGACAGCGCCCCGCGTTCCTCCTATCCTCTCATGTCCTCTCCTTCTCCTCCCCTCCTCCTCCCCCTCCTCCCTCCTCTGCAGTTCGCATGCTCTCCAACCTGGTACAGCGCTTCGTGGCCAGAGGGAGCTCCACCGAAGGCCCCAGTGGCGCAGTTCGCAGGCGCCCCCCCCCGCCCAGCACAGCGCTTCGTGGCCCCAGAGGGAGCTCCACCGAAGGTCCCAGTGGCGCAGTTCGCTTGCGCCCCCCCCCCGCCCAGCACAGCGCTTCGTGGCCCCAGAAAGAGCCCCACCGAAGGTCCCAGTGGCGCAGTTCGCATGCGCCCCCCCCCGCCCAGTACAGCGCTTCGTGGCCCCAGAGGGAGCTCCACCGAAGGTCCCAGTGGCGCAGTTCGTATGCGTTCCCCCCGCCCAGCGCAGCGTCTCATGGCCCGTTAAAGAGCTCCACCGAAGGTTTCAGGTGGCGCAGTTCGCAAGCGTATACCCCACCCACCACCCAGAACGGCGGTTCGCGGCCCATGGGGAGCTCCACGGAAGACGATACCCACAACTGCGGTACTCACAACTGCACATGGTTGGTTGACTCGCCATGCTAATGTGATCATCGTTGAATATTCCTCCTGTAGAGGGGCACGCCCGACTTAAAACCAATGATGGGCCACCTCAGACCCCAAGCCGGCTCCAAGACGGGGGGGCTCCTGGTCCCGCTGCTGCAGCGTGGCGGTGCAGCGCTGAAGCTCGTCGCCCCTGGCGCGCAGCTCGCCCTGCAGGTCGCGCAGCTGCGCCTCGGCGGCGGGGGCGCGGCGAGAGCGTCGACTGCACGCCTGCGCAGGAAAGCAGAACGGGTTGTGGCCTTTCGACGAAGCTTGCCCATTCCCCCTCTCCCCCCTCTTCCCCCTTTTCCCCCTCCCTCCTCCCACATCCCCATCCTCCTCCCTCCTCCTCCTCCTCGTCTTCCTCCTCCTCCTCCTCCTCCTCCTCCTCCTCCTCCTCCTCCTCCTCCTCCTCCTCCTCCTCCGTCCCTCCTCCCTCCTCCCTCCTCTTCCACCCAGCTGCCGTCCCGGCCCGAGGCTTGTGGGTTGCAGGTACACAGGGTACCTGCGAAGCCTCCGGGACTGCCGCTAGACGCGCCGACCCGCCATTCCGCGTCAGGCCGGCCGTGCCCCCCATCAGGGCCGCCGCCCACGGGCTTCGCCACGCGGCGACAGCCCCAACCAGCGTGGCATCGCAGGCTCCGCGCCAAGAGAGGGATTGCTAGAGCTTTCCTCCGTGTTGCGGCAGCTCGTGAGATCCTTGCCAATCATCATAGTGCCATGTCGACTCCGACAAGACGCACGCCAAGCAGACCCAGAGGATCCAACCCGACCAAGCACAAGTTCTGGGAATGCAAAGACTGCCAGCGCACCAATCCAGCCAGCAGCAGAATATGTCGATTTTGTGAGCCCGTGGCTACGCCATCGACAGCAACATCGCATTCTGATGAAGCAGACGAAGAAGCTCGCCCATGGCGTCAGCAGTTACGCACAGGCAAGCCACAATGGAACAACAACACGTGGCAGAAGAATGACTTCTGGTGGCAGACGGCTTCTTCAGGTGGCCGACCGCCTCGCTCCCGCTCAGCACAAGCGCCTGTCCGCCACGTACCAGCAGAAGATGCGCCGCCACTTCCTCGTCCCGCACTCCCAGAAGAAGATCAGAAGCACCGGCTGTGGCTGCCGATGCCGAGGAAGCCCAAAGAGATCAAAGCGCACAGAGACCAGCTCAAGATCAGCCTGGACGCGTTGGAAAAGCAAATCTACAGCGCCTACTCCATGGGCGCGCGCACAGCCCGCATCAGCGAGCTGGAGTCGGACTACGCCGTCACCCTCTACATGGTCATGTATGCCAGGGACTCCAAGACGCGCACCCAGCAGCAGCAGGCCTACGTCGACCGCATCCGCAAGCGCCTGAGTGACGCCCAGAAGGCAGAGGACGAGGCTCTCGAAGCCCACAAGTCCGCAGTTGCCCTCACACGCTCGCTATCAGAAGATGTGCAGAAAGCCGAGGAACTACTGCAGCACTTCGAAGAGCTGGAGGCCAAGGAGGAGGCCGCTCAGAGGGCGGCCGACGCCGAGGACGAAGATGACATGACCATGACCGACCGCCCGGAGGATAGCTTCCGCCCAGGAGGCAGGGAGGAGCCTGTCCCCCGCCTGGCCGCCCCCCACTCGGAGGCAGCCACCGCGGCGCCAGCAGCCACAGAGCCATCACCCCATTCCGCGGTGGCCTGCCTGGCGGCAATGCAGGCCAACAACGCAGCCCTGACCCAGCAGGTCACATCGCTCGCAGCACAGATGACAGCGATCACCACAGCCCTCGCCTCCCTGCCAGGCTTACAACTTCAAGGACCAGCACCACCGCCAGCTCACGTACAAGCAGTACCCGTCGCAGTACCCGCCACTGGCGCCCAGCCGCTCCAGGCTCCGTCTGGAGGCATGCTGCCACCTCAGCGCACAGTGGCTCCAGGCCCCCAGCCCTGGCCAGCCCCACCAGAGACAGCAGCTGTGTCAGCAATCGGGAACGTGCCGCAGAAGAAGCCCGCACGCCAAGCCGCAGGACGACCAGGCAGCCGCAGCGCTGGAGGAGCCGCGCCTAAGACCGCAGGCCCAGGAGCCAGCGGCAGCGCAGGCTCGCGGGGCGGAGTCCTGAAGAGCGCATTCGAGAAGGCTCGTCGGCAACAGGCAGCCGAGTCCTTGCCAGTGGGTGACTCCGATGGCGAGGACGCGGCCGCGGTCAAGCAGCTGCAGTGCCAGCAGGACCAGATGGAGCTCGACCCGGCCGCAGCGGACGCCCATGCCCAAGGAGAAGAAGATCCGCCCAGTGTACGGCCAGCTCATGAGGAGCAGCCGAACTGACAAACAACTATTTATCGTGCTGGCGTGAGTACCACTCTCACGTCTCAGGGATTTCAAAATGCAGACGACCAGTGCCCCACTCCCCCTGAGGTCATGGGTACGGTTATAGGCCTCTCGGAAAGCCCCCTTCCCGACCTGGGCCCCACCAAAGAGCTCCTGCAGCACCAATGGGATATCCCTATCTGTAAGGACCTCCTCAGTTACTCCCAGTTTTGGCATTCCGCTACGACAGCAGGCCTGTCAGGTCTACTTACTTCCGACCCAGGCATCCCACCTCTACGTATCGACATCTACACAGATGGGACTGGGGGTGGTTTCAAAAACTGGGACGGGGACACGTGCCCGCCTGCGTGGGGTTTTGCTATTCTTGCTTCCGCCCCAAACCATCGCTGGCTTATTGGATTTCAGGGCGGCCCTCTCAGGGCAGCCGCAGAAGCATACCCATCATCATTGCATTCCGCTATGGCTGAATATGAGGCCGCCATTTGGGCTGCCGCGTGGCTTATCCGCTACCTCTCCTCCGCACCCACCTCACCCATGGTATCCATACATACTGATAACATGCAAGTGATCAACAGCGCGGCGTTGGGAGCCACTATGGGGCAACTGTCAGACCTCAAGAAGACCCTCGATGGCCTGGTACAGGTACTCACGCGCACATGCACGCGTTTCTACTGGGACCACACACCGGGACACAGCGACCACCCGTGGAACGAGATGGCCGACACAGTTGCTAGACTCGCTAGTATGTCTCTCCTCCTTCCGACCCCAGACGTGCAGTGGCGTGCTCAGCTTGATCTGCCATGGCACCAGCAGGCGCTGCAATGGCTGTGGCTAGAATATTTATCTTGTGATCAACGTGCACAGTATCCCGCCTCAGGTGGCACACCGATGCGAGTTGGCAACGCAGCTACCACCTCCGTTCAGCAAGGCATACCACAGCCACGTGCAGTAGCAGGTCCCGACACACCACAGTATCCTACATTCTGGGTGGCTGCTGCTAACGTACTCACACTACATCCCAGTATGTGGTCTAATACACCAGACACCTACGGTCCAGGTCCTGGTCGTGTCATGCAACTTGCGGCCTCTTTTGCGGCCCAACGGTACCTCCTGGTGGGCACCATGGAAGCCCGCCTTCGGACCCACAAAACTCAGAATGTTGGGGACTATCTGGTCTTTCACTCCTCTGCTACGCCAGCAGGAACTGAGGGATGTGCGCTTTGGGTACACAGTAAGCTAGAATATATGCCAGGTTACACCATCACACAAGATATGTGCCGTGTTTTACATGCCGAACCCACCCGACTGGTGGTTGCAGTGCGAGGCACTGGTTTATCGATCAACGTGCTGGTGTTTCACGCGCCTCACTCACGTGCTGGAGGCACGCTCGCCACAGCCGAGGTGAAGCTGGCAGAGTGGTGGCGAGCCACCACAACCTTGGTACAGCAGACGCGTCAGGGAGCCGAACATTTGATCACACTAGTCGATTCCAACGCGGCCCTGGGAAGCCTCACCTCGCCCGCCGTCGGCTCCGAGGAGCCCGAGACCGAAAATGTGCCCGGCCTCCACTTCCACAAGTTCCTCCTCACTACGGAACAATGGGCCCCCTCCACTTTCTTGCCTTCCTACAGTGGGATCTCGGGGTCCTGGTCAGCACCCAAGGGAGATACTAAGTCCAAGCGTCGCGACTACATCACAGTATCGGACCCTGTCGCTGTGCTCAGACAGGGAGTGGATGCAGCTGTCGACCTCACGGTCACCAACGAGGATCATCAAGCAGTAGGTGCGCATCTTATGCTCCCGCCATCTGCATACATACAACAGCGTACGGTGACACATCGTGTGCCGCACGACCCCGCACTCTATCGGGACCCCCAGGCTCAGGCCCTCTTCAAGGAGCTCCTCAGTGAAGCCCCATGTGTTGACTTCGACACGCACAGCACTGATCACACGCACATCATCGACGAGCACGTGCGGTGGGCTATGCAACAAGCGTTCCCCGTCCGAGCCACATCCAGGGGCACTACACCTAGGCAAAACTGGATCCAAGCAGATACTTTGGAAGCTGTCGACCACCGCACGCTCTCTATGCGCACGGTGCGTCAGTTGCGGGTCTTACTCATGAGGGCCACACGCGCGCTCTGCTTTCTCGCGTGGGCACAGTTTACACACGACGGACGGCACATGGACATGTACTTCTTTGGTTCTCCCATCACTGGTACTCCGCCGTCCCCCGCACCACTGGTACAGTCCGTGCAGCGCAGTGTTACGCATTACGAGTACGTGTACGATATGACGACATACACACTGCAGGTTTCAGCCAATCTACAGGGACAGGACAACTCCAGGAGACATCGGGCTAAATGGCTCAGATGCGCAGTCCACGCGACGGGACCAGGGCAAGGCTGTTTCAACACTCTCTTCGCCAATGTTCCAGAGCAGCTCAGCTACCAACGGGGGCTGTCTATCCAGCAGTTTTGCAAGGCCGTCATCGAGCATCTCCCACGCATGCAGCTCAAGTCTCTTGCCATGCGCGAGCTTCTCAAGTTACACAGCACATTTGTGATCAAACAAAGATCCAAGGATAATGCCACAGCGTACTACGAGCAGCTTGCCACACAGTTACAATCGGAAGGGTCCAAACATCAGACAGACAAAGTCTTTGCGACGCTGAGACGTATGGGGGCTGGCTCCAAAAAGCGACTTATGCTTCGGTCTCTCCCGATTGTCCGACATCCCGACGGGACCCCGGCGACCACCACCCTGGAGGCGGCCAATGTTTGGCTGAAGCACTTCGGTACCGAGGAGCTCAGCGCCATCGTTCCAGCGGAGCAGGCACAGAGCATCTTGGACTCACTGCCGCCTCTCCCTCAGGACCTAGTGTGCAACATTACGGCTGTCGAGGCCTTCGTTCCCACTTTGGCCGACTTTCAGACAGCATGCCGCAGGACGCGTGCGTCTGCTCCTGGCTTGGACGGGCTATCAGGACAGCTCGTCGCGGCTTTCGGTGCAGAGTTAGGCAAACTTTACTTTCCGATCGTGACTAAGGCCATTACACGACTCGAGGAACCTACACAGTGGAAAGGAGGCATATACTGGAACATTTGGAAGAGGTCTGGGGATCCCTCGTGGCCAGTTTCATCCAGAGCAGTTATGGTGTCGCCGCAAATTGGCAAAAAGTTTCGCGCCCTGGTCCGCACACCACTTGTTGATATCTTACCTCAGGTTGCGGGGGACTCGCAGTACGGGGGCATCGCGGGTCGGGGCGTTGAC